CCCGCCCAGCCCCCAAACCTCCATCCCAAAACATTCCCCAAAACCAGCTGGCCGCCACTGGACCAATGCCCAAATTTACTTCTATGAATGTCTGAAAATGTGCGATGTGTATATAGGCCTATATGTGTCACGAAGCGAAGGAATCATGTGCTCGTCAATTTTGAGTCATGTAGAGTTATTGGAATCATCTTAAAGCTTGTTCACTTGTCTTTATTTGGATGAAAAAAAATATCCATTTATCTTGAATACAAGTCGAGATATTTGCGAAAGAAGGAGGTGGGGGTCACCAGTTTTCAGAGGTAAAATTAGCGAGAAAGTGGCCCCCAAAGATTAGTTATTTCCTTAGCTTAAGAGTCCGTGGTAACTGAAAATTTACATTTGTGTGTCTTTAATCAACGTTTTTCCGTAAAATCCAAACAGAAATGAGTTATTTGATGGGCATGAAAGGTGTTGAGCCAAAAAACCAAAAATTTGATAAAAATTCAAAAACCTGCAGAAAAATGCAAGTTTCTTCAATTTGATTATTTTGACGAGAGCCTGATTTCACCACGCTGTATCACATATGTGTCACGACGCGGAGGAATCAGGCGCTCCGCAATTTTGGGGGCATGTGGAGTTATTGGTATCAGCTTAAAGTCTGCCCTGTTTTCTAGCTCTAGATGAAAAAAGTACCTATTAATCTTGGAAAGGAGGTAGAGATATTTGCAACTTAGTTTCAGAGGTAAATTTTGCGAGAAAATGGCCATCAAAATTTGGTAACTTCCATAGTTTGAGAGTCCTTGAAAAAGGAAAATTAACATTCTGCCTGCCTTTAATCAACGTGTTTCGGTCAAATCCACACTGCAATGTGTTTTTTAATGGACATAAAAGATGTTAAGCCAAAAAAAAAAAATTCAATAAAATTTGCCAAACTGGCAGAAAAATATTGTTTTCTTCGATTTCATTGTTTTAACGAGCCCCTGATTTCACCACGATGCCGCACATATGTATATTTGTAATATCAATAAACTCGGCATGCCCATACAAACTTTTCACACTCACACACACTCACACCATAATCCAAAAAAAAGAAGCTCTTTTACTTGGATGATAATAATAACGATAATTAGATAGTGATAATAATAATAACTGCATTTATATAGCGTATATTTAAGCTCTATGTTCTTCACAACTATTACTACCCCGGCAGACACTAGAACACTTAGAAACATTCTCGGCTCTCAGAAAGCATGCAGCTCAATTGGTCGCTTTTAAGCACAAGCGGGCTATCCCGAAAAATGTTGATTTGAGAAAATCGAAGGTAAAGTTTTTACCCATTGTTCAGTTTTCTCTATAACCAAACAAATATACACACCAATGAAACCAAATTTCTCCTACAGGTAGGGCAATGCCCACTTTTGGTGTAGTCAAGATTTCTGGAAACCCCCGAAATCTGGGTTAGCCTGTTTGTCCTTAAAAACTACCAATTGCAATGTAATGTAAAAAAAATTGTCTCTGTGATATAAGATTCATCATTTGCTCCATTTGTTTGTCTTCGTATGCACATTACAAAATCCACAAAACTCCCTTATTGCAGTGAGCAATAAATAAATAATAGTAAACTCTTCAGTGAAATCAAGGCAAATTTCCTTCAAATTGACAACACAGATTTAGATTCAATTCTGGTCCAGAATATAGAAAAAGGAACGTAACACCTGGATATAAAAGTGTTTGAAGGTTACTTATGAGAGCATCTTCATCTCTACACACACTTTTTCCAACACAGGACAAAATTCCTTTATTTCCTCTATTTTACTTCTTTTTACGTACTTGTTTTTACACCTCCAGTGACACAATTTAGATCATTTAGACATGACCTTCTGACTCTGCCTGTCAAGGCTAAACTAGACTTGAGTTGAGACGGATACAATTCCCCAGCAGAAAGACCGAAGAACTTGATTAAAAAATATTTGTGGAGAAGGGAGGAAGAACAGATATCTAGATAAAGGAAAAGAGAAGGATGGAAAAAAGGAGGGACAAGCAGCAAAAGAGAGAGAAAATGTAGAGACAGAATGAAAAGAAAAGTGAACAAGTTGGAAAACAAGATAGAAAACATCAGAGGAAAGAGGGGGAGAGAGTGAGGGAAGGAACAAAGTATGAGAAGAAAGACAGAAAAAGAAGAAGGACAAAAAAAAAAGAGGACAAATTGAGAATTACTCGACAGCAGTTATGATATACATCTATTTCCTTTCGTCACAATATCAAAAATAGATCGCACCTATCTGACTAGATTGTACGCCCAGACCACAGCACAAAGCGCTGGTACAATTTTTGGCCTGTAGCGAGTCATTTGATAAACATTGCCAAAAACCAAAAAATTCCCTAAAAAAAAAAGCAAAACAAAAGCAAAACAAACATTAAAAAAAAACCACATGAAAAATCCTGAATACCGTTACATGATTACAGACAGTCGAACCATCACAGAGACACCTGTAAGTATGAGTAATCACATTCGTTAACATCTCTAATCAAATTCGTTAACATCTCTAATCACATTCGTAAACAACACCCCTAATGCACATTCGTAAACAAAATCACATTCAGTTCACATCACTAGTGCACATAGGTCAACAACATCACTAATGCACATTCAGTTCACATCACTAGTGCACATAGGTCAACAACATCACTAATGCACATTCAGTTCACATCACTAGTGCACATAGGTCAACAACATCACTAATGCACATTCAGTTCACATCACTAGTGCACATAGGTCAACAACATCACTAATGCACATTCAGTTCACATCACTAGTGCACATAGGTCAACAACATCACTAGTGCACATAGGTCAACGACATCACTAATGCACATTGCAATCACCAAGGCTCACACGAGAAAAAAACCCAATCGCTACAGAAACAACACAGATATATTTACAAACACAGTCCGGAATCCCGTGCTGTGGTACACACTGGCTCTGTCCACTCCACAAATGTCTCAACTAACGTCCACTAACACAAAATTCCGCGGTTATGATCCAACAGAAAATAATCATAATATTACATCGTATATATATATATATATATATATATATATATATATATATATATATATCATATGAGAACTAAAAATGACACATTATAAAGGCCTGTGTTGATCAAACACTTCATGCACTTTACAGCACACCAAAATATTTTGACAACTAAGTTTAGTTTTAGTTTTAGTAAGAGTTTTACAGCACTTGCAACACAAAGAGCTCATACAAGCGCAGAAGGTTAGAGGTGTTACTAGAGAGTGATTGATGTGAGACACGATGACAAAATGACTTCGTCTACATATCGAAGCGAAGTTTGAAAAGAAAGACGGAATGGGAAAATGTAACGTAATGTAATAAAATTTGACTCTATGATTTAAGATTCATCATTTGCTCCATTCACTTGTCACCGTACGCACATTACAAGATCCAAAAACCTTCCTTATTACAAGAAACTAAAAATAGTAATGAACTCATCGGTGAAATGAAGGGAAAATTTCCCTCAAATTGATAATACAGATTAGGATTGAGGAAGGGTAAAACACGAAGTAACATAGGACTGTGTGCTGTCTCAACTACGGGACAAAAAGTGGCATCGACCTACGGGCCAGTCGGGACATAATATGTGAGACGAGCTGACAAAATGAGTTACTTCTCGTAAATCGACAAGAGGAGATGGGTATTCCAATGTAAAGTGCATTGAGCTACTTTTTGGGAAATGCGCTATATAAATATGTTACATATTATTATTATTATTATTACTATTATATTGGCCAAAAATCAACACCAGGGTCAAATTCGTAGATTTTCTTACGGTGCCATATTCATTAAGAATAATAAGCCTTTCATTATTTCATACTTATAAATTGTAAAAACTTCACCTATAAGCGTGACGTATCTATTTCTGTAGGTCTCGAATCCGAGAAGTAACTCATTTTGTCAGCACCCTTCACAATTATACAAGCAGCAGAAAATAGAACACATTTGTAACGGGTAACTCTAAGACCTCCACAACATTCAAGTAGTACAGAGATTGGTTTTTGTTGTTTTTTCAAAGACTTATTATTAATTAAGATCGCAAGCAATACTGGGCAAAAAACTACACGCGTGTCTGTAGTCCCAGCTACGCGCAGGAAGAAGTCAGTCTCCCCTTATGCCGAGTGGCGAGCGCACACACACGCGGGAAAGAGAAGGGGGGGGGG